TCCTCCCTGGCGCCCCTCGGCGCCCCTGTGCGGCTCGCGCTCCTCGTCGTCGTCCTCCACTCGTGGCCGCAGCAGGCGCGCGCGCCTGGCCTCCTCCTCGGCCGCGGCGGCCGCTTTGACCTGCTCGTCGAGGCGACGCTTCGTCTCCTCGATCTCCCGCTTCATCTCCTCCATGCTCCTCCGCTGCTCATCCAATTGTCGCCTTTCCTCGGCCATCTTGGCGGATTGCCTCTGCTTCTCCAGCTCTGACTCCCGCCAGCGCTTTCGCGTGAACTCCCGACTCTTGATGGCTTCTGCATCTCGGTGGTCGATGGATGCATGTTCGACGTAGGCATGTCGAGCTGCACGGATCTCTTCAAAGCTGTACTCCCTCCCATCGATTTTGACCAAGCTTGCCGAGTACGCCCTCACGTACTTGGTCCCTTCGTAGACCGTCTCCCGTTCAGGACTCGGGGGCAGCCTGGGTCTTTGTGATGATGCTGATGCTGTTCTAGATGAAGCAGATGACGATGAAGAAGGTGCACTCCTCTTCATCTTCTGTTGGTATCCTCCTCCCGCAGTGATTGAATTCGTGCCGCCTTCGGGTTGCAGGTTCAATCTTGTTTGTCTTCTTCTGTTCGATGTGCGTCGCCCCTTTCTCCCGCCTTTTTTTCGATTCTGACGCCGCGCCAAAAAACATGAAACGGGAACTTTTCTTTGACAAAGAAGAAAATGCCATAAATATAAATATTTTCCTAGAGCCCTTTGTTGTAGGAGAGCGTGTCGATGGGGTTGCCCTTGGCGTCCTTGAGGTTGTGGAACTGCGGCTCCAACAGCTTGGCTGCCAATGTAAGGAAAGGTGCGCACTGTTACTGTTACAGGGTATGGTGGAGCGTCGCTCGCGTGCTGCGGTGCACGTACCGGAGACGGAGCAATTCTGAGGGAAGACTGCGATCGCAATGGGAAGAGCGGCAAAGAGCATTCCGGTTATCACACCTGGAGGGCGAGCAGTAGTAGTTATAGAACGCGACCACGGTCAAGACTGCAAGTGATGGGATACCCCCAAAACCATTGCGGTCCGCGAGGGTCGAGGGAGGCGGTACCGAGGTTGACAGGCCAGTGCAGCTTAGGGTAGCGTTTGAGCAGGGTCTTCTCCGCCCCGGCCATGATGATCGGAGGAACGGCCATCACCATCGCCGTGGTCAGGCACCTGCGATTCAGCCATGCACCAATATTGGAGGGGGGGGGCGTTAGGTTAGTAACCGGCCACACGGGAGGGAGGGGGTCTGGAGGCGCGCGTGCCTGCTGATGGAGGTCTGGGTCAGGGCAAACAGGCCCGCCCTCTGCGACTTGCCCACCACGTTCCCGTCCTTGTCCTGTACCGCGATGCCCTCTCTACATCCGGGCACGTAGAGGGAAGAAGGGTATTGGTAGTGAGCACACACACACACATTTCTATGTTCTGGTATCTCCGAGAGATAAACATGGGCGTGCGTACGTCATCTCGTTCTTTCGCATGAGGAACACGTTGACCACACCGGCCGTTGCCACCGCCGTAAACGGCACAAACTGCTCAAACGCGGGGCAAGGGGACGGACAGAAGCCAGATCAGCGAACAATTCGCAATAAATAGATAAATAGATAGATAGATAAACGCCAGGAAGAAAGGGCGGCGATACTCTCGAGAGAGTGGCTCGGAGGGCCGGAGAGAGCGACGGGGCCTTCTTGACCAGTTGGCTCAACCCCGCGGCAAGCGAGCAAGAGACCGCCACCGCACCTGCACGCGTCATCGCGTAGAGTTGGTTGGTGCGCAGTGGGGGGAAGAAGGGAGGAGGGGGGTGAGTGGCAAGAGAGAGGGTGTCGCACCGCCGTAGGCCAGCATGATCTGGCTGTTGGACATCTGGTTGGACGCGTTGCGGTTGGCATGGTTGACCCCCACGTTGTAGGACTGGTTGAACCACTGCCAGAACAGCTGGCTCGCCATCTGTCCTCCGCACCCGACCCAGGCCAAGCAACCGCGCACGCCGGGTGAGTACTGTGAAGCGAGCGCGCCAGGGTTCACGCAGTGGTGGGTGGCCGGTGTGCGTACGGAGGGGTTGGGCATGAGCATGGCGGCACAGATGACGATGTTCATGGGCACGAACGCGGACAAGCGGAACGGCGCAAAGATCTTCTCGCCCGTGTCGCCGTGCACGATGGCGTCCTTAACTGGAGGCACGCGTGGCAGCACACAAAGGGGGTGAACGAGTGTTAGCCTGAGAGCTCTGAGCCAACGAGAGAAACGAAGAAGGGGGGAAGAGCACTCTTTTTGGCTCGCCACAGGTCTTCTTCCATAAAGTCGCGCCGGCCGGACCGATAGTCCTGGATCATGGTGAGAGCCCGGCTCAGCTCATCCTCACTCACCAGCAGCGTCCTGCACTCGTCCGTCATCGTCGCACGCGTTCATTCGCACATGGTGAGCACCCATCACACACCGCACGCACGCACGCACGCGTGGTTTCGCCCTCGCACGCACACGAGGGCTTCAAGAAGAACCGGAGCAGGAACGGGGCGGGAGAGGCGCACCGGGGATCCGTGACGTCGAGGAAGTGTCGCCACCGGCCATAGAAGGTCGACTGGTCGTAGCGCGGCTTGGCTGCACGTTGCGGCACACGCACACATGTGGAGTAAGTGCCTTAACCGTAGGCTCGGCCGACAAGCGCCGCACGAGCGCCGGCGGAGCGGCACGGGCGCGACGAACTCCGCTCGCCAGGGCATGCGGGGTAGGGGGCACCCCCCCCCCAAACGAAACGGAACGCAGACTTCCGGGGGTGGTGGCGAAGTATTGCCCCCCGGCGGCAAATCAAAACTGCGAAAAGGAGGGCGTGCGTACTCAGATCGAGCCGCAAAGACTTGGCCGGTGAGGGAGTTGTGGTGGTGCCTTCCATGAGCGTGTGCGTTGTGTTCCTTCGCCGGGCCGCTTCTTTCTCGTGCCGCGGCGCACTTCTCCACGTAGGCGAAATTTCGATACTCGGGATTAGCCAATGGGGGTTGTAGAAAATGATGCAGCGAAGACCGTTGCCGCCTGCACTGACGGCCAAAACCCAGCCGGAGCTCCTGGACCCGGTGATGACGGACACGCGGAATCTGTGGGGGGGGCAACATTCACCCTCCATTCCTTGTGTTCCTTCCCCGCCCAGGAAGTCAACCGGCCAAGCACTGGCATTGCGTGCCTCTCACTGCAGCACCACACTACATCCCGCACACCCTCCCCAACATGTCGGTATGACCCGCCCACCCACAGAGCACCTTGATATTTGCTGCTTTTCTTTTCTTTTTTGGTGAAGGTTGGGCACATTCCCCCCTTTTCTGGGGAGAGGCGAATCGCTTTTGGTGTGGTGCGTGTGGTCATACATTCCCTATTTGTCCCTATTTGTACGTTTTGCTTAGTGGCTCCTGAAGAAGGCAGCGCCTTCATTTTGAACAACAATATTTATCACTCTGCCGGCCACTCACCGCCAGCACAGCACCTAGCAGCTCAAACCTCTCCACCCTCCAAACCCAAGAAGAAACCAGGTCTGGGGCCATTTTTCTTTTGTTCTTTTTTTTTGTTTTAGTTTTGGGAGTGTAAAAGTCAAAACACTCAACGCGCTACCACACGGCTACGCGCGCAGAGGCGGCGCACGCAAGTAGCGACACTGGCAGCAGGCGGCGACGGGGCAGACTTGCACATGGACACGCTCGAGTGCAGCACCGAGCGGGTGGAGGAGCTCGACGAGTCGCTCACGGTGCTCAACTACGACGGGCGCAAGTGGCTCATTGGGGTGCAGGTGGCAGCGGCCCTCAACCGGGAGACCTTCAACATGTATCGCAGCATGAAGGTCAAGGGCGTCGACCTCACGCGCGCCGCGCCTGCGCACGTCGAGTGGCTCATCCGACAGGGCGTCGTCAAGGGCGGCACCCACTCGGTCACCCTCATCCCCTACGACACCGGCCTCTCCTTCATAAACTGTACCCCTCACCCCCCCCCCTCTCACCCCTCCCGCCTCCCGCGCTGCCCCATGGGGTCCTCCAAATCTCTCCATCTCCCCCATCCCGCCTCAAACCCGCCTGCGAGCCAGTTGGCGCTACACGGACACGACAAGAACTACCGCGATGATGACTGCTACTACTACTCGCACCCGCTCACTCGAATTGCGTGGATCGACGGTCGTGGTGACGTTCGCTCGCTTTGGTGGTGGGGTGGCGATGATGGTGGCGGGGTGCACGCAGCCGTGGTCAGCGCAGGGATCGTGACCACACCGTCGCCGTCGTCGCGCAAGGCGAAGAAGCCGTCGAGCGGGGGCATCGATGGCCTCACCACCACCACCACCACCGACAGCGGTACCAAGCGGGCGCGCGATTCCGTGAACACGCTCCTGCAGCAGCTGACGCCCACCTCCGAGCGCCTGGCGGCCAACGCGGCCACCAAGAAGCTGCGCGCGGTGGGCGGCGACGCGGCCCTCTCCTTCCTCGAGGAGGAGGACAGCGACGACTTCAGCGACGACGTGGTGCAGCCCTCCAAGCGCCGACGCGCCTCGGCCGCCACGCGGAGAGACCCCTCGGGTTCTTCGATCAACAAGCGTCCGTCGCCGCGCCGCTCGCGCACCACCGAGTCGCCGCTCGCCGCGCGCTCGCCCTCCTACAACCTCTCCGCCCTGCCGCGCCTCCAGACCTCCTTCGCCAACGCGCGCTTCATGCCCACCCAGGCCACCATCCCCACCCTCCCCGACGCCCACGACGAAG